ACTGCATATTCTGAATGTTTTTGTTTGATATAGAGTAAGTTTATTATATAATATACTCTCTATATTGAACTGTTTGGTATATAAAGCTAACCAAAAAATCTATCTCAAAACTAAAATGTTTTTAGAAAATTTTAGAATTTTACTTGTTCACTTATTTTTTTCGGATTTTATTACTTTGTATACATGCATATTCGTGAAATTATACAATAGTTTGCTACATCAAAACATATATACATAGTTCTAGACTAGTAAACAGAAGTTCAGATATAAGTTTAGTATAGCTAGCCTAATTTATTATAAAAAATCCATTCTGCCAAATCCAGTTCATTATAGCCTGATTTCAGTATAAGCAGGTTCGGTATATCCAGAGTTAACTATATAGCATTTTTATTTAATCCTATAATTGATTGGCTAATAATCTATATAGATAAGTTAATCATATAATATCTGAATATAATCTGGGTATAATCATTATCCTTTTACTTCAATAAGATATAAAACTGATTATTGGATTTTATTAAAGAATATACCCTTTTAGATAAAGAGTTATCTAAATATAACTACTAACATCATCTATACTATAATAAAAAGTTCTCCAAACCAAAGAGACCACCTTAATACCAAAAAAAAAATTAATTAAAACAATAAATAGTAAAGCTCTGATATATAATCATATAAAGATTTGTGGAATTTGAAAAACCCATGAGCCGTAACTCTGGTCAAATTTGCAGATCATTTGACCAGGTTTAAAATTATTGACTTCAAAGCTGGCCAAATGATCTGCAAATTTGACCAGAGTTACGAATTACAGGTTTTTATATTTGGGGTCAACTGCAGCAAAACAGTGTAATGGGACAATCATGTGATTTTGAGAAAATTGCAATTGAAAATCATTACATGATTAATTTTAATATAACAATTACGAAAAAATAATTTAAATTTATACACTTTTTATTAGCATATTTTCCAAATTAAAACTATTTTTAGAAAGATAAAATATATAAGCAGATTATTATTACAAAATCTCAAAATTTGATTGGTTGGCCCATTACACCGTTTTGCTGTGTGGGACCCCATTTATCAAATTCCACAAATCCGCCGATATGATTTTGTTTTTATTTGAAGAGTATTAGATAATGGTAAGTATTCATGATAGCATACGGCATTTATACGATATACGACATTTATACGGTATAGGGCATTATTTATACGGCAAATTTACTGTCATCGCAAACCACCAGATAACACCGTTATCGCATGCTACGCAACTAATAACTTGTTTATTTGGCAGCGAATTTAATATGTACTGTATTATATTATTTCTGGGTCCAGAAGCCGGCATATTAAATTTCACATCCAGATAATGAATTATTTTACAAATAATTCTCATACATCCCAATAACTTACAATTATATACTGCATCCCATATTTTGAAGAACCAGTATGTTTTAAAACATCTTGATGTAAACTTCAAAATATGCCATATATTCTGTCAATAGGACATACCAATTGTCAATATTCAAAGATTTTGGCCAAATGATCTTTAGCAGCTACAATAGTTGCATTCGAAGAATTTTGATACAAAAATCGTAATCTTCTCGTGTAATAAACTAAAGGTTTTACAATGTCAATTAACAGGTTTGCCATCGAGAGACTTAGTAAGCTTTCAAATAAAAGGATATTATTTTAACTCGCTCATAGAGTAATTTGATAAAAGAATTTCAGTTTTTTTTTTTTTTTTATGTTTAATAATGATTAGATTTAAGTCAATTTTAAATCCACTTATTAAGTGGAGTTTGGATTCTCTAACCAACAGAGTCAGCTTAGAAATCGTTGAGAACAAAAATAAATCGGAAAAGGATTAGTTAGCTAAACGTATTTTTTTAAAAAAACCCCCGAAATTTTCTTTTTTCTAAAAGACGTAACCACATGATTTGTGATAATGATCGAAATAAGTAAAATTCTTAAAACAGAATCTCATCTGCGAAGGTCACATCTTTTTGCAAAACGCATTAATTCGTTCTTATTTTTAATTAGCAATAAACTGAAAGTTTTTGCAGCTGTTTTCATAAATTTTGGGACAACCTAAAAATTTGTTCGTTTCCCGAAATCTCTTCGGTTTCGTCAAAAGGTCACCTAACTCTTCGGAATCACGTCATTGTTTTCGGAACTTCAGTCCGGAGATAACGATGTAAATCCGGAAAGTTAGATGATTCGTAGAACAAAACGAAAAGATTTCGGGAAACGAGCAAATTGAGAACAGCTGTAAATAAACTCTGTGTCCCTGCTCCGGTGTAGGGTTATTAGTAATAACAATCACTGGAACAGCTAATAAAAATTAGCCGATTCGGTTAAGTTTGTGATTTCGGCATAATATCATCAAAATACGTATAAAATTGATACATGCACGTACTTACGTATTTAAGATCAGATGACTAATATAAATATCATAAAACTGTGTACGCATATCTTTGTTGAATACAGAAATATGCCGGCATTATTTCCAACTTTTTAATATTAGCGCCTATTCGTTATATGAGTTTATTTTATCTGGAGCCTTTTTTATATTTCTTAAGATTTATTGGCTGATAAGATCAGTCTTTTCCATAAACTTTCGCTACGAACTAAAATATATCAAACATATTGGGCAAGTATTCAAACGAAAATTTAATAACGTTTGAATGGTCGACATTATAAAATTTTCTGTAGAACAATTATTACATGTAATAGAATATATATATCTTTTATAACAGTACAAGCCAAAATCACCTAGCCTTGTCTATTTTGGTCCGGTCCTGGTCTATTATGGTCTATAGACTTAAGATTTAGTCAGCCCAGACCGGTCTAGACTGGTCTAGTCTTAAGACTTGCTTTTTTTTTCAGTTCCAGACCGTTACTAAGACTAACTGTGGTCTAGACCAGACCACATAACAACCCTACTCGGTGGTTAATAAGTTGTAGTAATCTACTAGTTTTCGAATAATTTAGATGGGTTCCATCTAAATACTCGAAACCTGATATAAAATATTGCTATAAAAAATAAATTTCCTACAACTTATTGACCAAAGATCAATTAAAAATACCTTTTTTTATAAAACTTGCTCAAAATCGGCTTTCACGTCCCTAACTGGCAAATTAGATCACTAAAATAGAACTGATAGACATGATTGACTTGATTGGCTGATTTCATGTGACCATACTATCTTCGTTCGTTTGTCCATTTGATCAGGCAATTTATGTAACGATCAAAATTTTTTTTCCAACTTTATTGTAAAGTCGGACAGGAACATAAATGAAAACTGATGCCACATAATGATAGTAAACCTCCCCTCCTGTCTTTTTTTTATTATTGTTATCGTTATTATTTATTTATTAAATAATTTTTGGATGGATTGTAACAGGCCCCTGGATTGTGCTCGGGATTCACCAACTTCAGGGTCATGTGATATATTCAACTAATATATTCAAGTATGAAAATATCCCTATGTAAGGAGTAGGTTTACAATGCATAATTTTAAGCTATTGTTCGCCTACTTGGATTAAATTCTGAATGTAACCGCCGGTCTTTAACGCGATAAAATTTTAAAGATATATAAATATCCCGGATCTTCAGAACATAATACCCCCTGTATCCGGCACTAAAATGCCTTGAATAAACAAATATCTGTTTCAAATTGAGTTATTAACATATTAAGTACTTTTTTACTATATATAGTTTACTATACTACATTTAAACCAGATGATCTAGAACGCACTCTTGAAGACGGACTTTTTTTAATGGTAAACATATTAGATGCAAAAAAAAAAAATAATAAAGTAAAATAAAGGAACTGTCCTACCGACCTAATTTTGTAAGAGGTTCGTTTTCATTTTCTCACTGTAGCATAATATATGGTTTAATTACGGAAGCATCTTAAGTTCTGGAATGTATTATCGAATATCAGATATATATCTGAAATATGTATGTACATACGTACAGTACATATATCATATTCCTAGATTGAAATATGAATGGGTTTGATCAATGAATTTTACCTTGAAATGTGACGCTTTTAAATTAATAATATGTCGTAACATGTATGCGCACAAAATTTTAAAACGGCCGAGAGGTGTGATAGAATCCTGGTGGTACGTAATCATCACTCATAGGTTATATGCAATTATATATATCTCACATTTCCGCCTGATTTTCCAGTTCGGTTTATTAATTCAGCAATTGGCAAAAAGTATATCCGGTAGATATTTTCGGGAATTTAATTTTCCCATTTATTATGAGAGCGAAGGAGTCGTGAACGTATATTTAAAACGTTAATGTCTGCTTCAAAATCCATTTGATTACTATCATTATTCATATTATTTTTAATATCAGCAAAGTTTTTTGAATAAAACGCGATATTTCGAAATTTTTCAAGCTGGAGTGGGAACTGACTTCGAAAAAGGTTATTGACAAAATGGAGTACCGATATTTGGGTCATAGTGGACTCAAAGTTTCGGTTCTTTCTCTTGGTGGCTGGGTTAACTTTGGCCGAGTTTCGCCAGGTATGAAAATATAATCATGTAATTGGACTTTTTTTTTTTTTTTTTTTTTTTATACCATTGATGTCTATTTTTTGCAATTCTTTTGTTATGAACAAACCAGATATAACTTTAAAATGCATGCAGGTAGCATTCGACAATGGCATTAACTATTTCGACACTGCAGAAGTTTACGATGGTGGAAAATCTGAAATTGATATGGGTAACGCAATCAGGAAATTGGGTTGGAAACGATCTGATTTTGTGATATCCACCAAAATCTTTTGGGGTGGAAAAGGACCAAATGATCGGGGATTGTCCAGAAAACATATTATTGAAGGGTTAAACGCGTCTCTGAAAAGATTGGAGTTGGATTATGTAGACATTGTATATGCTCATAGGCCTGACCCTGATACTGTGTGTTCATTTCTTTAAAAGAATTTACTTTGTTTTATTTCGAAATTTTGTGTTTAATCATGTTCATTTTATAATAATAGCCAATGATAGAAATAGTTCGCGCCTTCAACCATGTAATTAATCAAGGAAAAGCTTTCTATTGGGGAACTTCTGAATGGCCAGCCAATCAAATAGTAGAAGCTTACGGTGTTGCTAACAAACTTTTACTCATTCCCCCGTTGGTAATTTTCTTACTAATATATATTGATCAGCTTTTTAGTCTTCTAATTTATTAAAATATTATATATATATATAAAATATCTTCTGTCATTATAAAGGCTGAACAAGTGAGCTGCCATTTTTTCAATAGTTTCGATTATCTTCTATTTTCTAAATTCTAATGATTTTAATGAATATTTATAGGCACAATACAACTTGTTTCATCGAGAACGTGTCGAACTAGAATATACTTCTTTATTTGGAGAATTCAAAATGGGTGCAGCAGTCTGGTCACCTCTTGCTGGCGGTATCTTAACTGGTAAACATAACGAAAGAATAGCTGAAGATTCTCGATTAGCATTAGAAGGAAATGCTGTTATGCGGCGATTAAGGGATGGATTGTTAAGTGAAGAAGGCAGAATTAAGATTGAAAAGATAAAATCATTAAAGGCAGGTTTTCACAAAGCTTTGATTTACCTTAGTTTTTTTTTTTTTTTTTGAAATGGCTTTTAATGCTTTTTAAATAATAAAATACAGCCTATTGCTAATAAACTCGGGATGACACCTGCCCAACTTGCTATTGCTTGGTAATTTTCTTTATTTATTTGAGTTTGGAAAACATCGTCGCACGTATTTAAATTCCTTTTGTTTTATTATCTAAAATAAGGTGTATTAAACAACCAAACGTTAACACTGTAATCACTGGTGCATCCAAACCTGAACAAATAGAAGAAAATATTCAAGCTGTAAAATTGGTGGGCACGTTGACGCCAGATATTTTAGAAGAAATTGAAGAAATACTAAAAAATAAACCATCGCCTCAGTTCAATTACAGAGATTGTTAACTTGTTGAGTCTAACTAAAAGTACCCTTTTCGTAGGCGATCTTTATCGTGAATATTAAATGAACATTACGAAATTTCATCATATATTCACAAATTTTTGGAATTATTAGGTTTTCATAGCTGTGTTTATTAAACCGTCCTATTTCGCAATGTAACATTAAATTATTTTTCAAAAATCTCAAATTTTATGGCACACTACGTTAATACTATAATCATTCTAATAACGAGTAATTTAAGAAAGTTACTTAGGAACGTCCTAAATCTGGATTTCTATAAAAAATAAATGACTCAAGTTATTCATAAATAGAACTATTATCTGGATGGCTCGGATTGGCTCTTAAAAACAATAGCTCAAACTATGTTACATCGATATAACAATTAAAATTACTATTATCTAAGTTGTAGCTCAGCACGATTTTAAGTCGCAGATCCATTGACTTGGGGTCAGCTCGGCTCTATTATGCGGCTAAGGTTGACTTCAAATAAACCGATAATAACTCTATTTGTAAATACTCACATACCCGATCATAATGCTTGTATCAGAAAAATAATTCAAATCCTAAATATGAAAAAAAAAGGCAGGTCGATGGAGATCAGGAGTATGTTCAGATTGATAAAGTTGGATCGCCTTCTTTACTGTCATGTACAGCATTGGACACCATTATCTCCAGTTGATTCTTTATTAATTGTTTAATCGTAAACCAGTAATAGTAGGGACAGTTCACATTAGATATTTATTTTCAACTCATCAAATCATCAAATACGCGTGATTTGTCGGAACCAATTGATGATCGGCTATCTAGATATGTTGTGTCTAAAGTTGTCCCCTGTCGCATTCAAGCCCCTGAAATCAGTTTCGCATTAAGTTTCACGAGAGAAACCAAATGAAGGAGAGTGTAATACATTTTATACCCTGGTCATTATATATCAAGATCGCAGGGTATAAATCAGTTATACCTTGGGTACGATATGTGTAAGCGGAAATTTCATTTCCATTTATACCTACTATACCCAGGATATAACTATTTGCCTATGTTCTTTATAAAATTCTATTGCTCCGATGGGAAATGCGCGAAAGTTTAGCCGCAGTAATAAGATTCGAATCTAAGTATTAACCATAGCTGCCGCAACAAATTTGGACCGGCAGATCTTCGATTTTGATTGGCTAAGAGCGACGATAAAAAGATTAGGCCGGAATTACTCATAATTTTACTAATGAAATCATAGC